CATTTCCTCTGTATGGTGCTGCGTTCAGGTTGAGTTGAGAAAAATCAGAGGTCATGTGATTTGTTGCTCCTGTATCAAAGTACCAGGTATTCTCAGGAATGTTCAAAACAGCTGAGTGGTGAGCTTCAATAAGTGATCGTGGTGGAGGGGCCTGATAAGAGAGATTGCACCTATTTGCACAAGTAAGTGCGGTATGACCAAGTTTCTGGCATACTTGGCAAATTGAGTCATTGGTTTGATTGGAACTTGGATGAGGTATGAAATTGGCATAGTTATAGTTTCTGCCTCCAAATCGTCCTCCCCCTCTATAAGAATTGAATCGTCCTCGACCTCTAGTAAAATGGCCCCCTCATCCTCGACCACGATAAAACTAGGAGCCACCACCTCTGTGAAATTGATTTTATGTTACGGTCATATTAGCAGATAAATCAGGGGTGGCAGGGGAGGTGTATTCTGTAATTCTGGCCTTATGAATTAATAGATAACTGAGGACATCTTTAGGAGTTAAGCTAGCAATCTGAGTGGTGAGGAGGCAACTATAGATTCAAAATCAGATCCAAGACCGTTCAATAGGCAATTGACAAATTTAGCATCAGAAACAGGATCACCAGCACTGTTCAAAGCATCAGAAATCAATATTACCTTTTTAAAATAATCAGAAATTGATTCTGATCCCTTTTTTAAAGATGTGAGCTGATTATGCAGATGTAGGAGTCTTGCTTGAGATTTTTGTGCAAAGAGTCGTTCAAGAGCAAGGCACATTGTTTTGGCTATCTTGTTTCTAATAACTTGACCAATCATAGATTCAGACAAGGAAGAAATTAAAACAGAAAGTGCTAGCTGATCTTGGTGAAACCACTTAGAATATTCAGGATTTGGAGCTCCATCAGAAAGCTTAGCTGAAGGTTGAGGATAGGTACCATCAATAAGAGAAAATAATTGCTGCCCATGAAGATATGGAATCATCTGGGCTCACCATATAGTGTAGTTTTCATTTGTTAGTTTTATGGAAATAAAATGAGCAGGGGATGAAGGTAAAGAAGGAGATAAAGAAGATACAGAACCAGCTGAATTAGTGCTAATGGTTAAAAACTACGCAGAACCAGAAGAGATTTTTTGTGCTATATGTGGTGATGAATTTTTGCCCGCTCTGATACCATAATGATGGTAAAAGGCAGGGAAATCATCATCGAAGAAAATAAATGCAGAAAGAGCATTAAAGGAAAAACTGAATTCATCTTCATTGATAAAGACGCTACAATGCTACATATTTATACAAGTGTACCATGATACAAGCAGTGAAAAAGTTAAAAAGATAATAGGACACGTAGCCCTAGAATAGATGAATCTGGAAGAATTATGAATGATTGGGTTTTGAGGTTGTGTTATTGGGCTTATTGTATTTGGGCTAAGTTTGTGCTTCAACAACTTAAACAAGTTAAATTAGTCAACATCCAATATGACTCAGAAATACCTCGTTTCTTGCACTCATAGGATTGAATTGAGATTGAGGATGATTTTTTTTTTTTGGGTGAGATTGAGGATGATTTGAAGCATGCATAGAATACCAACCTTGATGCACTTTAGCATCTCCCAAACCCTTACCACCAAACACTATAGAAGATCTTCCTAATGGTCTTTTCAGCTTAGGAGTCTCCATCTTCAAGCAATGCCGTTTGCTTTGTAGATATAGTTGTCTCTCCATGTGCAAAATTTTTATTTTTAATTTGGTCAAGGATTTTTCTTTCTAGGCTTAGAGCACAAAGGGTTTCCGTCTCTTCCAATAAGTGTGCTTCTCATGATTTGAACTTGTGTTCTCCTCCTCATAGAAGTGAGGCTGCTTATCACTTCAACCAACAGCTTGTTGATCTCTATTTGCATAATTAATTTTCAGTTGTCTGACTTTTGCCTCTTTGAATTCATCAACCCTTTAGGTTGATTTCTTTTGGGTGTTAATCTGATCGACGATAATATAAAACTAGTGTTTATTGTTTAGTTCTTATCATCATTTTGAGGTAAATTATAGTTTTCATAAGAAATAATTAAAATTAATGGTTTCCACGCATGCTGCATGCCATTTTTGAAATGTTCCAATTATCAGTCTTAAATTTTGACAGCAAATTAAACATTTATAAACACGTTATTGAAGAAATCTAATAAAATTAGAGAAGTTGTAAAAGAAGACTCCCGATAATTAATATTAAAGCAATGATCATTATTAACAGTTTTTTTAATTGGTGATTATAATATACTCCCTCCACTTCTAAACATAAGAGCTACTTAAGAGATTTGCTTTGGTACAAAGCATATTTCTTACAAATAATTAATTTGTCATATTTTATCAATATTCTATTTTTAACAATATATAATACATTATCTTTTGCGTCTGAATCTGATCAATGATAATATAAAACTAGTGTTTAATGTTTAGCACTTGTCATTTTGAGATAAACTATAGGTTTCGTAAGCAATAATGGTTTCCTCATATGCTACGTCCCGTATGTGAGAAATGTTCCAAGTTCTCAGTCTTAAAATCTTGAGACCAAATTGGACATTTATTAAGAGTTAATTCTAACACAATTCTAGATATATATTAAAGTAATTCTGATGACAATTAGAAATTGTAAAAGTTGGCTCCTGGCAATATTAAAGCAATAATGGTCATAATAAACAATTGAAGTTGATAATACTGCCTCTAGTCCTTAACATATATATATATATATATATATATAAGAACTTAATCTGCTTTTTCTCCCCTCTTTTCTTGAAATATCCCTATTGATTGATGGTAAGGGGTTCCTACCAAGAAATAATTCCAATCTTACAATGGACATTATTAAAGATGACAGTTTACTTAGGGAGAGCAACACACATTGTTGACAAATAATCAACTTAACTAATTTTTTTAGTATCTCCAAACTAGTTATCTAGCTCTTATATTAAAAACAAGAGATAATATAATATTTTATTAACAAACTCTATATATCTTCAACAGCAAGTTATTTGCTCAGACGATGCAGATCAATACGCTCTTTTTGATGGCTCTGAACTATAAAATTGCTTCAAAAGACCCTAACCTTTGGGAAGTCTGATGATCATATCCTATATATTGTATGAGACAAAATTATAAACCTATTGGCCCTGCAGAATTGGAGCAACGAGAAGCATACCACCCAAAGCATGCTAATAAGAAAGGATTGTTCTCATAAGATTTTATTATAAATATGGCGAAGCAAAAGACATCCCATATTCAACTAAGTTGAGCAAATTAAAATTAAAAGGACGACTCGTTTTCTAAAATCTAGTTCAAGATGTTAAAAGATGTAAGAATTTAGAATTGAAATTAATTAACGACTTTTTTTGGGTTCAAATAAGCTTCATATTATTTATTCCCCTTTGTACGTACGTCGAGAATACTTAAGCAAGCCCCCGTTTATACTCAATATATCAAGGGTAGTAATTACCTGCAAGTACTATGTCAAGTGTCAAAATAAATAAGACTACTTACTCCGTGGGTGTAAGTCTACATGTGAGCTCATGTGGCTTTTTTTTCAATTTAGAATATTTTATGGAAAAAAAAACTCTGCTACGCACTCTCATATTCTCTCCCATTTTCCAATAAACCTCTCTCAAACTTTCTCTCCATTTTATTTTGGCACGTCTCTCTCATTAATCCTTCATCAGATTTGCTTTCTCTCTCTTCATACTTCCTTTCGCGTATGTTTTTCTAGAATTAACTACTACCTCCGGTACTTAATATAAAATCTCATTTGATTTTTATTTTAATCCTAAATATAAAACCCCAATCTACTTTGTCTCTTATATTTATCTATTTTTTTTCCAAGATAGTCCTTCTAATCATAATAGTTCTAGCCAATAAACTTAATTAGTAAGGATATTTTAGGAAAGACAACACCTATTTATTACAAATAACTAACTTAACTTATTTCCTTAATCTACTCAAATTAGTCAACTAGCTCTTATATTTAGAACCGGAGGTAGTATTTTACTTCTTTTTTTCACCTTGTCCTCTCTCGTTATCACCATATTTAACTCTGAAGGTCTATCACTGCATTTCTTACTGCTCCATTAATTAGTCTCGAGATTGTGAGAGCTATTGACTCCTTCTAGTTTGTGCCTCACTGCATTTCTCTTGATCTTTGCATCTGGTTTCTGCCTTCTGTCATGCTTATGAAACGTCGTAGAGCATCAGGGAATTTTGTTCATATTCCATCCTTCAATGAACTAGTTATAAGAAGCAACAAATTTAAAATGGCGCCGGGGAGCTTTAAAAATTTTGAGGAAACTCTACATGTGGGTGGGTTTTTAGTTCAAACCCATTATATATGCTTGAGGACTTTGGTCTGCTGTAATCTTGCAATTTATGTTTCTAGAAAAACGAAAAAGAATGGCGGAAGGAAGAATGAGGAGAGAGAAAGAATGAATTTGGAAAAGGATGATGAGAAAGAAGAGGGAAAGATTCACAAGTTAAACTAACCAAATTTATAACTGAGACAAATTAAATCATCAAAAATTTTGTTATTGATAAAAAATTGCATATATTTATTAGATAGATTTGATGGTCTGGTAGCACAAAAAATTCTTTTGAAAGTGAGAACTAAGTCATTGATTTATAATCTCACCTGTAATAACACCGGTGCGTCATGACCGTAAGATCAAATGGAGGGTGAAGATTAGAGAAGAGAATGGTAAGAGGACCGCAAGGGAGAGGAGAGGTTCCACGTCGGTGAACCGGTATATCCTTGCTGGTTACGTTCACTAGAAGACAAACCCATTCTTTCCATTCTGAAGCCACCTTTTAATATATAATTAATGCACGCAAAAGTCAAATGAATACAGAAGGATGCATCGTGGAACCAATAAGCTCAAATAAACATGTAAGCCACATTATATATGGAACTTGTCCATTAATGAAAGACAAAACGAAAAGATGCATTAATATCAATATAATGCCGTATTAAATGAACTCACATGCGATATGGATAGAGTATTTTATTCCAACATAAAGAACCATTCTGGGTTCCAATATAAATGGATTCTAAAATTTAAAAATAAAGAAAAATCACATGCATTGTCGATAATTTATTGGAACAATATCAGAATTATAAAACTTTCAAATACGAAACCACGCTTTCTTGTTTGATTTCTTTAACCTTTGACGAATCAGAAGGCATCCTTCTCATGATCCATCAACTCCCACGAACCATCTTCTTGCTGAACCATTCCCTTGTTCTTCTCAGTCCACCATGAAACAGGAACAAGATTTTCATCTTTCAAAGAATTATCGCTTTTGTTCGCAAGTGCAATATCACGATTCACCTCTAACTTAAACTCTTTATTAAGTCCCTGTGTTCCTGCAACGCCATGCAAGTAACACTCCAAGTTATGCCAAGTACTGATAGTTCCTGGACTCTTCAAGTACGGAGATTTCTGATTATTCATCTTCAGTTCTTCACCAACTTCTAAGTAAGGAAAAACCGGATACTTCGGAACAATATCAAGAATGTTCTCAACCCTTAAGACTCTCAGATCTTTCAACTCAGTGAAAGCCTTCTTGAAGATGAGTTCTCCAACTCGAGGGCATGCATATAGAAAGGCTGTGACTGGACATGATCTTTCTGGTGCATTTGTTGGCTTGTTATAGCCATTTCGAGTTATGTCCACTGCGTTTAGGGTTGCGAGTGCCCCTCCTAAACTGTGTCCAACTACAGTTATGCTGATTTCTTCATCTCTGTATAAATCTACAAGCCTTCTTATCTCACTAAGGACCTGCTCATAAAGAATTCATTAGCATCATCAAGATGTTTTCTCTGGGCCTCGTAATCTGTAAGATTTGTTATTTTGGATCTCCATATGAAGGGATTTCCATATTAGTATGATCACATGTTTCATTTTGTGCGATATTCGTGTGAATTGTGAATAACTAACTTCAACTTTTGTCCCTTGTGACGGTGTGAATAATATATGCATATAAGGAAAGTAAGAAGTAACACGGAATATTATGAACAGTTTTGAGAAATCATAAATCCTTATAAAGATCAATTGTAACTTTTTAAACTGCAAAATTTAAAATTACGGAGATGGCCGAATCTAAATCCTATGAATTGGAAGGGGTTGAATTTGTGTGTATTTTATTGAATTTGCTTTTCCCCTAACATAAGTTCAATGGATCTGAACTGGAAATTGAATCAGCTGACAGACAATGAGACTAACATTAATCAAGTTTCACAATTCAAAAGAAAACAAACACCATAAACTCGGTGCTGCTCCTAATGAAGGGGATTAGATTCCTCTTAAGCATAATAATTCAGGTTTGAGTAGCTTGTGTGAATGCAAAAATAGAAAACGCTTTTGAAGAACTATCTTTCGTTGCAACCAGATTATTAGTCAGAATCTAATGTAATTCACTAAGTAGTTTGCTACAAAAACAGAAGAAATAAAGAAGAAAACAAATACCTGGTCTCTTGCACTGGTCGGATTGAATTGAGATTTCGGATGAGTTGAAGTGTACATAGAATACCAACCTTGATGAACTTTAGGATCTCCCAAACCCTTACCACCAAACACTATAGGAGCAGGAACCAACAGAAACTGGAAATCATTAATCCACTCCAACGTTTTTATTGTTCCTCTCCAAGCAATCACAATATCTCTCCTTCCTAACACTGCTTTGCCTTCATCTGTGGCCACAGCAACGTACCCTATCCAGTTTGATTCCTTGCACCAACAATCATCTGGCAATGGCTTTACCACAAAAGCTTCAGGAACAGCGATTTGTGATGTCGCATATAGATACTTCGTTACATTATACTTGAAGGGATTCCCATTCTCCAAACCAACCCTTGCAAACAAGTTCTTCTTTGCGTACTTGCTTGCTCCTGCAAACTTGGAAGCTTTTTCTGAGATAAAAGTATCGTACGTGGCTTGTGTCATTTGTCCATAGTGAATAAGGTAACTTCGTAGATCGATGTCGAGAGGGTTTAGAAGACCCTCCCAATGGTTTTTCCCACTTAGGAGTCTCCATCTTCCAGCGATATTATTCATCTTTTGTGTGTTTCTGTGTGAATAATTATCCACCTCTTCAAATCTTGCTTTTATAGATAGTTATTTCTTCGTCATCTGAAGAATTAGTTTTTCGTTGTCTCACTTTTGCATCTTTGAATTCATCAACCATTTTCAATTTCTTTTGGGTGTGGTTCTTACCAATGATAATATAAAACTAGTGTTTGTTGTCTAGTTCTTATCGTTTTGTGATAAATTATATAGGTTTCGTGAACAATAATAATACTTCCCGCACATGATATATATCGGTTGTGGAATGTTCTTGACAGCAAATTGAACATTTATTTTAACACATTATTAATGCTAATTAACACTTCATATGACTATATATATTTAAGCAATTCTTATGACAACCAGACATTTTAAAAGTTGACTACTGGTAATATTTTTAAAGCAATGATCACAATTAACAATTTAAGTTAATTAATTGCTTTAATTTCCTTGTCATTTGGTTAAAAAAATTTCTGTCCTTGTCTTGATACAAAGGAACAATATAATTGGAAAGAAGATTAACATATTCTTCGAGAGTATATTATCTGTTTAGACGAAGCATATCTCTTTTTCTTTTTTTTTCAGTGGATCTCGATCTGTACTATAATTTTTTTGGGAAAAAAAAAAAGATATTAGTCAGCAAAGTCTGATCATCGTATCCCATATTTTACATGTCTGAAGGGACGTTTGCCGAGACCGAAACCGTGGTTCTTCTCAGGAAACAGAAACAACATAATATATATTGGTTATGACAACTATACTCCAAACAAGTTATTAATACATAAATATAAATTAGGAAATTGGAAGAGTATATAAGATGTAACCTCGGGGATGTCTGTATTGAAAAGGATGTTTTATTAGCCAATGAGAAATTTATCCAGAGTGTTTGGACATAAAAGGGGAAAATAATGCAAGGGTGACGTACGGTGACAAAGGAAGCAATATAATGTTTACCTAAAGCTGAACTATTTGTGTTTGTTGAAACTCATAATAAACAATTTGAGTATATTAAAAAAATTTGTTAAGTTAGTTATTTGTAATAAATAGATGTTATCTCTCCTAAAATACCTTTACTAATCATGTGCATTAACTAAAACTATCATTTGATAAAATCTTTGATATGTGCAACTATTACAAGGATTATTTTTTAAAAAAATAAATAATAAATATGAAAAATAAAGTAGATTTAGGTGTTATATTTATGGCCAAATTGAAAGTTTAAAAAAAGTAAAATAAATAATAATAAAAAAGTAAACATTTTAGTAGTAAAGGCTTTAGGAAATTTCAAGAATTGATATTTCGGGGAATCTTTTAACATGATGCATGTTAACGGAAACAGACAACTTATTACAATAATAATACTTTAGTATTTTGAAAATATCTTTTTGTACCATTGCTATACACGTCTTTAATTTGTACATTAAAAACTCTATTACTATATATATCTCTAACACAATAACGATCGAATCCATCACTTTTAAAACTATACGAGCCAAAATGCCAGTCGACAAAAGAATCGTTAGAAGTTATCCACATCAAACTCATGTATTGGTTAGATACAATTTGAATTACAGAATATTCTTATTCATAAATGTTTCAAATACGCTCTTTCTTTTCTTTTTCTTTTTTTCCCCCCCTTTTCAAGGCCATTTGGCTGGCCTAGGGGACATGGACATCCATAAAAAAGGATCTAATTGCTTTGTTTAACAAACGATGAGTAGCACGTTGAGCGTTGACGCGTAAGACTGACTAGGACTACTCACCAAACTTTTGTCTATCGTTTTATGCATCTTAATTTTTTCTTTTTCAATGAGAATAATTTGAATTTAATTTTCCCTGATCTTGAACAAATGCCTTCCCCGTTTATGTGTTTTAGTATTTTATTTTATTTTATTTTGAATAATATCTGAATTATATTAGAATCTTTTAGATATTTCAATTACCATATTTGAATAATAAAATTCCCTGAGTATATGGTCAATTTGACTAAGTCTAGGTTAGGGTCTTATTCTGTTATTTATTTAACTAAGGGTTACATGGTGTTTTTTCTCTCAATATTCTCTCAAGAACAATGGGAATCCTAAATTATCAAATAGTGGAATATCTTACATAAAATATTAGAAAGGGTGCTATGTTATACCCGGTTAAACATCCATTGTTTTGAGTGTTAGCTGACCAGGAGAACAGACTCCAAAATTACACATAAGTATCGTATAACAAAGTGAATGCCAATTAAGTCTTAAAAATTATAGATAAATGCTAAAAGTTGTTGGGTGATTATCAACGATATTACGCTATAAGAAATAACATTATTAGTCCCTACATTTTTAATTTTTGAGACTTAATTGATACTACCTTCGCTTCTTAATATGAGAGCTAGTTTGACTCTTAATTTAGTCTTAAATATAAGATCCCAATACATTTTGTCTCTATCATTTATCAATTTTGTCCTCAAGTAATTCTTCTAATAATTGCATATGTTAAGGAATTACTATCAAACACATGATTAATAATGGTATTTAAGGAAAAGCAACATCTATTTACTGTAAATAACAAACCTAACTTCCTTAATCTCCTCAAAGTAGTCAATTAGGTCTTATATTAAATACTAGAGATAGTGTTAATTTTTCTAGAGTACTTATTTGTAATTTATTAGGGCTTTGTCCATAATTTTTTTCATCAATTAATTAACAGTCAAAATATTATTTAGGAAGGGGCAATATTGCTCCCTTTTTAATATTTCAAAAGCAAAAGTGCACCTTGAAGTTAACTGCCCTTAATTTGTCGCTTTGGGATTACTCCAAAAATTAACCGCATTAATGCAATATAGTGCACAATTCGGGTCGTATTTACTTTGAGGAGCCGAAAATGAAATTAAATCCTAGTAAATAAATGCAAGTAAACTATAAAAAAAGAGATTTTTTGATTTTGAAAAACTGTTAATTAAATACTACGAATCAAATTGAAATTAAAATACTTTTTTTTTTGCTATAAAAGTGATTAAAATGAATGAAGGTTAAAGAAATGAAAATGAGACACACAAGTAACACTGATAATAATCAATCCTCTAATTCAACAACGCAGGCAATCATCACTCTAAAAGATGTGGGAGTTAAAAACAATGAATTAAGAATTATAATTAAGCTTTTAATCCAACAACCGAGCCACCTCGAGTTGTCACAAAATATTTTCCTAAAATCCCAACTTACTAATTGCAACCAGAATAATAAAATGGGATTAAGGATGCTAAAAACCAATGCTTAATTAGAATTCTTAAATCCAAAATAACAGAATTAAAGCTAACAAAAGACAATATGCTCCAAAATTCCAAGCCACCTTAGAAAATCACAATATATTAACTCCAAAATCAATACAAATGTCATAACCACAACACTATAATTGAAATTAAAGTTATAAACAGCCCAATGTCAAATGCTAAATAATAATTCAGTCACAATAATCTCCAAATATAATCAGATTAAGCAATACAATTATCCCAACAATCAGAAAACCTATCCTAAGACCTAGAAATTGTTAAACAATTATTGAGTAGAGATTAAAGCAACTAAAACTCCCCTTGATGATCCCCGCTCCTGCCATTGTTGTTGAAGGTGGAAGATTATGAAATTAGCCACGGACAGCCATGAGAAATACTGTGATTAATGTTCTGTTACAAGGTTCCATGGGAAGAAGGACGGAACGCGAGCTGGGCGGCAAGGAGAAGATGATCGCCGTCGCTGGTCTCCTCTGATTCAGTGAAGAAGACGTTGATGCAGTAGTGAAGAAGGAGAAGATGACGTCGTCGACCTCTGCCTCTCTGCCTCTCTTCCTCTCGTCCACGCTGGTCCTTGTGTTGCTGTGTTTGTCTCCGTCGCATGCCCCAACTCTGTTCTTCCTAGAGACCCCGCGCCGTCTGTGCTCGTCCAGCGTCTCTCCTCTATTTCGTCCCAGCTCGTGTTCAGCTTCCGGGTCGGCTCGCTCTCAAGCTCGCTCGGCGTGTTCGTGCTTCAGTCTCCCGCGCCTTGCTCTGTTTTCAGCTCGTGTCTTCCGCCTCCAAGCTCGCTCGCTTTCTCCCCGGATGAAGAAGATGAATATTAGGTTGGGGCAAAATGCAACATTTTGCCCCCACCTTATTATTATTTTTTTTTTTTTTAATTTAATTTTTTTTCCTTTTTTTCTTTTTTTATTTTTTATTTTTGAATCTTCCAAGAACCTGTAAGCAAAATTCAAGGATAAGGTAGCATTAATTGTCCTCAAAAATCAATTAGTCACAATTAAACCAAAATATGACAATTTTGCCCCTATAAAATAATAATTCAAATAAAACATATTAAATCCATTAACAATCAATTAAGGCAAAAAGACTAATTAAGTTGACAAAACCCATATAAAAGATATCAAAATATATAAAAATAATTGAGTTTGTCAACTCCCCCACACTTAGCCTTTTGCACTCCTGGGCAAAACATCATTAAAGAAGAATCCAATAGAGAGACTCAATGCAAGCAAACATAAAATCGACTAAGCATGAATGTGCAATTAACTCAAGCAACCTTTATTCCTAATCAATCAACAATCATAGAATACTTCAGTGCAAAGAAATTAACACAAGAAACATAGCAAGATAAAAGAAGAGAAACATAATAGAGCTCACATAGGGTACAAGTGTTTCACTCATCTCTCAAATGGGAAAAATTTCACTCAATCCACCTAGATTAGCACCTACCATAAGCTTGTAGAGATTCTAATATCTCCACCACTAGCATACCTTAGATTCATGATCAAGGGGACTTGAAGGGTTGTAATGTCGAAAAGCAAGGCCAAATGAATGAAATGGACTAACAAGTGAAATGCATGAGTAATAAAGTATCAACTCAAAGTGAGCTAAAGTACAATCATGAAACAACACCAATGTGCAGATTTTAACCTTTTGAGACAAAAATCCTTGCTCTTCAAACCACCATGGAATGCCTTATTTCAAATTTATTCTTTT